TAAAGATGCATGGACTCGCCGTGGCCAAGCGGCACAGAAATGAACACCGCTCTCGCTCAGCGGCCACTTAAAGTAATTGAAAGCAGACCTGCATAAGCACACGAAAGTCTTTGCTTTCAGAGAAGTCAAGAATAGAGCTCATCAAGTCAGAAACCTGCATCACTGTTAAACTTCTACAAGCTGTATAGTTTGAGGTGGTGTAGCTATACACAGATGAAGGTGCCTTGTTTCCTCAAAACTGATCATTATGAGTTCATTCTGTAGGTTATTGGCACGTCTCTGCGGTATTTCTATGGAAGTCGATAATGATTTTGTCCTTCCTTCAGTGTCATAACTCAATGAGTGAGTCTCCAGAGCTCAAAGGACAAAATTGCTTCCAAAGAAGTTTAAAATTAAATGTGTGTGTGTGTATTTTTTATATTGTATCGTCAACTTTTTATATCTTACGGCGCCTCCAAGGGAAAATGGTGATTTTCCTTTCTATCTCAAAATGTTTGCGTTCCCAGAGAAACTCTGCATTCGCTCGCAATAGCTTTGCGTTTCCAAAACATTTGCTAGAGAGCACAAAAAGCATTGACATATCATTTTTTCTCTTCCACCTCATATTTTTTTCCATCACCATGTCCCTTTTGGTGTTCTTCATATCTTAATGAATCATTTTAATTAGTAGTGGCGAGCAAGAATTCTTGAACAATTTTTTTGTATTTTTGTGTCCAAACAATAACAGATGACTTGTCACATCCTTTACGGTTTTTAAAATAAAAGGTTTCTCAAAACTCTAGAAGCATTTGTTTAAACTTCGTTTATAAAGAACTGTTCAAATACTCAAAAGGCCTGATTAGACTCAGTCATGTGGTCTATATATGCAAATCATCTCTCCTTACAAAAGACAGGTGCGCCGACCACAAAACAGACACTAATATCCCTGCTTGTTATGTGTCCCGCACTGAATTTGGACACCCAGTAACAGCCAGAAGAATAGACGAGTAACACGCACCTGTTGCCGCACTGACAACCGCATAACAAATTGGTTCATTTTGCGAGTCAAGAGGACGTGATTTGTTTGTGAAAGGGACATGTCTCCTGCGTCTCATGAGACCGCTCCCACACACTCTGTCTTTCACCCAGAGCATCATCTCATCTTTCCCATATAATGAAGAGGGGGAAATACAATGTTGTTCTTCACATTGTGGCACACCAGATGTTATTTTTTTCCCTTTAATTTCCACCCAGGGCAGAGAAAATGATAAACAAACTCACACGTGCGCGCACACACATACCGGGCGGCGGCGAGGACGGGCGAATCGGATTGCTCATCACATCCACGCTCTCCATGGATCCCTGTGGTTTTGATCTGATTAGTGTGACTGGGCTTTATGTTTACTGTCAATCAAAACACTCCGCAGACTCAAGGTCACAGCGTCCTTCGCCAGATGCAGCAGCGGGGACAGAGCGATGCGTTTCCGTTCAAATTAATTTTGCTCTGTGGTGATGAAGTGATGATTTACAGAGCACTTCATTTTTTTTTTCTTCAAACCTAAGGCCTTTTTCAAATGCATTGCTGTAGTTTTTTTAGTATCATGTACAGGGTTTGAAATTACAAGATGTGATATGTCTCAGAATGTGTCTGTGAAGTTTCACCTCAAAACACCCCACATATCATTTATTATATCATGCTGTAAACAGTGTTGTGCTAGTTACTAAGAAATAGTAACTAGTTACTAGTTACTTCATTCAAAAAGTAACTCAATTACTTTGTTGATTACTTACACCAAAAAGTAATGCGTTACTGTTAAAAGTAACTTTTTAGTTACTTAAAAAAAAAACATTCTTTAATGTTCCCATTAATGCCCTTTTATGCGTTATGGTCTATACAAACACAAAACTGACTTAAACAGAAAGTAATTTTTAAACACTATTTTATTTAAATCAGACCAGCACAAACTGAATATATCACAAGGATTTCTGAGGTGACTCACTATGCTGACTCGCGATCTTCGCAGCAGTAGACGCGCCAGAGAGAAATGCACATTTCATACGGATTACATAAGCAGAGAGCAGTCTGCAGTCTGTTTTCTTTCGTTTTGAATTGTTCTGTTTAAAAGTAGACATGTCTGTGAGGCAAGTAGGTTACCTTATACGCCGAGTTTCGGTTTAATCGGTTCATTTATGAGACGAACTCCAGTTCACGCGCCGGCGCCTCCATAGCTGCTCCCGACGAGCTGGATGGCGCCTTGCATGGCTGCCGTCGCCCGTCGGTGTATGAATGAGAGAGTGAATGGGTGAATGTGAGGCAAATTGTAAAGCGCTTTGGTGGCCATTGGGTCTGTGAAAGCGCTATATAAATGCAGTCCATTTACCATTTTATTTACCATTTCGTGATTATCTATCGTCTGCTATATTTACTTCTTATTTATTAAATCCAGGCAATTGGTTGATGAAACATTGATTAAAATTAAGATACAATTAATACAAAACGAAATTAACTTTAAAGAATGGTTTTGTGCTTTCTGTTTGATGTCTCTGCGAGTATTAAAGCATCTTTTAGTGCCGCTTTCAGAGCGCGTCGCGTCCGTAACGGAGAACTGTCACGTTCGTAACATTGTTTTTTCCTCATAAATGCGAACACTTAAAATAAAATAAAATGAATATTTGTTCTGTGGAGACTGATGGTGCGTTCACACCGGACACGAATAGCGCGTCAGGCGCGAGTGATTTCAATGTTAAGTCAATGCAAAGACGCGTTACGCGCGTAAAAAATTCCTGCGGCGCGAATGAGGCGTAGAGCGCGGCAGACGCGAATACGCCTCATTCGCGCGTCAAGTTCGCGCGAATGGCGCGAATTGAGCGTCTGGCGCGTTAAGCGCGTTACGCGCGAACGATTTAGTTAGTGCTATTTGTGCATTCACGCGTTTGACGCGAATTCGCGTCTGCCGCCCGAGTTGAAAAATCTGAACTTCTGCGTCAATTCGCGCCGCGTTAACCAATCAGGAGCCTAGCTGCTTGCTGCTGTCACGTGGTGAAGTATCTGGATGCTTCAATAAATTATTTTGTAATATATGACTGTGGTTCTAATGCACAACAAAGCAAATATTTTATCACATAAAACTTGATTTCAATATATGAGACATATTCATTTTGCATTGAATGCTATTTATTCCATATCTAGATTATATGAAATATTATTATAATGTAAAGACCAACATATAAGTTCGTGTCTGGACAGTGATGTGTGAGAGAGAGAGAAAAATCACAGGACAGATTAATCACTTTTGGAGGCTGGCTTCATTTCTTATCAAAACAAAAATAAATGACAGATTAGGTGGATGCGGGCGAGGGTGAACCTCGCGCCGGGCTGTAGAGCGCGGGCTCGACAGGCATAGCTAGACCACTCGAGGCCGAGGGCTTATACGGCCTACGCTGTCCTTGTCAGCGTCCTCACCATTAGGTCCACCAAACCTAGCTCCTGGAGCAAATTGTGAAACTCCTGAAACCCTCCGGAGGTTCTGGTGGACCCGAGTACAGCGACGATGTCCCCTACGGAGCTGTTTCTGCTCTCCAGAGCATATACGAGCGGTGACTCTCTCGAATAATGCTAATGCTAATGCTCGATAAACATCTAAAAAGATGGCCGCCAACGGGTTTCGAAACTTTCGCCTCCGGATTTCGCCTCTGACGCGCGTAAATTTCGCTTCAAACTTTTGTTTTTACGCGCGTCAATTTCGCCATTGCCACGCGAATTAACACAAAGTGGTCAAGCGTCAAACTAGACGCGGTAGACGCGAATTTGACGCGCTATTCGCGTCCGGTGTGAACGCACAGTGAGAGCCAACCCTTCTTCATTCGGTAGGTAGTAGTTTGCGCAGTGTAACTCACATAATTACTAAACAATATTTATTTTAGGCCTATAAAATTCAGCCCGTATAAATGTGCATTTTCTAAGCTTAGAAAATTGACAAAATTCATTTGATTCTAATCATAATGTAACATTATTGTGAAATTGATTTATTTATAGGCTATTTGCTATTAGTATAGTAAAGCCTATGTTTTTATCCAACTAGGCTATGTGTGGGCCTTATGTAAAATACGGGACAAATCGCGTCCCTTATTGATTTGATACGGACGCGTCATTTTACTTGTAAATACGGGACAATTCCGTATTTTAAGGGACGAGTGGCAACCCTACCACCAACAATGCATCGCTGCTGTAAACAGGTTAGGCTGTAGGCTACACTTCAGCCAAAATTAATTAATTTAAAAAAGTAACGGACAAACGCACCATATGGTAACGGTAACGGAGTTATTTTATTTAAAAAGTAATGCGTTACAGTATGAGTTACTGTAATGCGTTACTGCCCAACACTGGTTGTAAATGAGTCCCACATTTTTGAGTGGAAGGAAAAACATGCCGTTTTCGTGCATGTCTCTTTAAATGCAAATGAGCTGCTGCTCCCCGCCTCACTTTCCAGAAGAGGACGGAGCCTTTACAGGTCATGCCTCCATACTCTGCCAAAAACGAACAAAACATCTGTTTAGGTTTGGTTATCATCTCTATTGCGATCACCAGCCATTCAGAACTTCTATTAACCAAAACAAAAAAGATCAGAAATAAACCAGATTATCAGTTACAGCTTAGATTTAAATATTTCCATTATTAAATCTGATTCTGAATCTGTATTGCTTTCAACTTTACTACAGTCAGTCACTGTTTGCGGATACCATGTAAATGGAATAAAATAGAAATAACAACAAAATTCTCTTATAATTGCCACAAGTTTAAAGATGCTAGGGCCCTTTTTTATAAATGCGGCATTTATGAACGAGTTTTTGATTTTTGAAAATGGTTCTAAATGGTTTTTATTTTAGTTTTATTTGACTAATTGTAATTCGTTTTTCATCTAATATTTTTATTTAATGTTATTTCAGCTTTATTTTAAGTAACCAAAACACGATAACACCACTTACTAGCCAATTTATGACCTTTGTGTTTATTCGGGCAGTTGTTTCGAGGACGACGAGCCGCCCTGCACAGAGGAGATCGAGTATTCGTCCTGCAGTGACCCGTTTGGTGCCAACGAACTGGACATGGAGGTGAACGGCAACACGTCCAGTGCGGAAGAGGATGAAGATGAGGAAGTGTGTAGGAACGGGAGGCGGCGGAACCACCTTGTTCCTCACTACCTACAGCAGGACGCCCTGGAGACTCTAACCATCAAGAGCGGACAGTGTAACGCCATTGACATCAGTAACGGCTACTTGTGTTAGGCTTCTTTTGTTTGCCTTTTCTGTTTATATTTTATATCAGCTGAGCAGAAGGGGGAAACGGAAATATTCAGCATTTAGTCTTGAGTCGAAGAAATTAAATAAGACGTCCACACCTGCAAAACATTTGCAAAACACCCCACGGATGAGATTCCACCTGTGTTCCCTGATATAAACTATATGAATATGTATTTCTCACATAAAACAGCACTTGAAGAATAATTCCCTGATGCATAATCATGATGGCGTGATGAGCTCATTGGGTGTTTCGGCCCTTTGGTGTTTGCGGTGAATCATTTGCAGGTGTTGTGGGTTTGTTTACGATTGCTCTTACTTTAAATAGAAGCCGGTAGCTTGCTCACTAAAGTACTCTGCCATATAACAGCTCTTCCACTGAAACGCATTAGTAAACACTTGACATTGTAAGATAGCACTGCATATAAAGTTTACCTTTAATAATGTGTATTTATTATCATAGATTTTGAAGATCAGTAATCATGTATGTTTTTATGGTTTTAGTTTTTAGTATCAAAGTGATACTTGATCGTTCATAATATATATATATATATATATATATATATATATATATATATGAGCTGTCCTTGCTCTAGTGCCTACATATACTGTAGTAACATGTTGCTTGGTTAATGTGCGATTTTCTAAGCATAACAATATTAATACGCACAAATACTTATAAATACGTATAAAATGTATAGACAGAGAGAGATACTGTATTACTTTTTCTTTTATATATATATATATATTTATGTATAAACATGGATACATGGATATATAAGTAAAAATGAAAAGAATAAAGTGTTTACGAAACATTTCTGCAGTGACATATTATGACTGTTATTAAGTGAACAAAACTCATACTGTTAATCATTGTTTATGAGTCATATTCTGAGCACTGAAACAATATAATGAGACAGACACTAAATACAATGTAAAATACAGTCAGATAAATGCTGATTGTGGTCTTGGTCTTTTCTTCCTTTTTTCATCTTATGCAATTTAAGCTGATATTGGGATTTCGGTAAAAAAAAAGTCATTTGTTTTACAAAAGCAGTCTGAGCCTTTGAGACAGATTTCATCCAAACTCTCCTCTGAATGTTTCATATAATGAGTTCTGTCATATCTACACAGTTTGGACCCACACAACCTTTGGTTTGAGAGCAAAGCTACAAAAACGTACTCATGTCAGTCCATGTTCAAATTCAGGAGCCAACAGAAGCCACCAATAAGAGACTGACACTTTTAGCTCAAAGGTAATTCTGCCATTGCGTGAAATGTGTTCATCTTCGGTCTGTGGGACAGAAGTTTGATAACCAACCAGCAATATTACTGTATTTCTATCATGTTTTCTGTTTTATGAATATAGCCATTTTATGAATATAATCATGGCTAAAGGGTGTTATTAAGTGCAACATGCAGCGGTGGCCTGCACCAATATGATATAGTATACTATAGCTTTAATAGCAGTAATAAATAAATGTGTGTGTGTGTGTGTGTGTGTGTGTGAGAGAGAGAGAGAGAGAGAGAGAGAGAGAGAGAGAGAGAGAGAGAGAGAGAGAGAGAGAGAGAGAGAGAGAGAGAGAGAGAGAGAGAGAGAGAGAGAGAGAGAGAGAGAGAGAGATTGTGTGGTCCTGGTAAACCCTACGTTGTGGGGACACAACAAATGGCCCCACTCCCCACAAGGATAGTAATAGTAATCTTTGACCTTGTGGGATCTTTTTTTTTTTTGGTCCCCATGAGAAAACAGCTTATAAATCATAGGGCCTTTTATATATATAGCCTACACACACACTGCCCATGAGTTAAAACAACCGTAGCGAAGTTTCTACACAGAAAACCCCGAATGCACTGAATGTAACCTAGTAAACAGAAGGGTAAGTCTTTATTTCTCTGAATAAAGACAGTATGGGTAATGACTATTTTCATTCTCCCTGTGTCATTCAGGGCTCGATCTAGGGCCGGGTAATGACTTCGCTGTGACCTCCAGCAACCCGCAGCAAACGGCATGCTATCCTGTCCTGTAATCTCATTCCCATTTACAAAGAGATGGTCTAATTAGATCGTGGCGGGGGTGGGCTATACCTGAGACCGGAGAGGTGGGCTGGTCTTCATTGGTATGCTGCAGACGCGGGGTACGACACACACCACTGCATTTCTTAATTGTGTCTCTCTCCAGCTCTGTCTGGCGCTATACCCACTGCAGACCGAGCGGGAAGACGTCAGCGACCGAGGCTTTACTCTCCCCTGCCCGCAGAGGAATGACCCTCTAGGAGCTCTCAGGCCTGTGATAGTGATTACTACATTATCACATATGTTCAGCTAGCAGGTGGCTTTCTCCAAATATCTATAGGGGGCTCCGATTTTACACACTGCTGCTCTGTGTGGCTCAGGGACACAAGGAAGGACGGTTTCATGTTGCCAAAAGACTTTTCAAATGCCGTCGATATTTATACATACACAAAATGGCTCTATACCTTAAAGGGTTCTGTCAGGTATAAAATAAAAATAGCCTACTATAAAATAATATAATAGTTTTTGGCACAAAGTGTTGTTGTTGTTTTTTTTTTTAGTAAATAACCCTAGGGTTATAGGCCTATAGAATGTTTCTTCTAATATACAGTAGCCTATATTACTTACGAACTGTTGTTTTGGGTTGTTTCTTCCTAAATTGACACTTTTTGTTAATAAACTTCTGAAACAATTCTGAAAGTCAATCGTTTATTTGATTTACCCACTAGCAATATAGGATGTAACAGAGGATAACAGAAGAATTGTCATTGTTCTAAAATATTTGATTTTTAAAGCATTTTTCGAATACAATGACTGACTCCTTTGTTTTGCTTATAGCTAGCATTTTATGTAGGCCTATGTTAAATACAATTAAATAATATTGTCTTACTTTTTTTCACAAATTAAAATATAATTGTATTTATAATTATACAACAAATATTTAAATGTTTTGTTTATTTCAAATCTTTATATAGATTATTATAGTTTGAAAATTTCTCAAGTTGATGGGCCCCATTGACTTTTATTATTATTATTATGAAAGTCAATGGGGCCAATCAACTGTTTACCGACATTCTTCAAAATATGTATTTTGTATTCAGCAGAATAAATAAATGAATACAGTTTTGGAACAACTCGAGGGTGAGTAAATGATGACAGACTTTTCATTTTTAGATGAAAAATCTACGGTGGCCGAGAGACCTCAATACGCTGCAAATAAAGAAAACGCATGCAAATAGAAAAACACCCGCAAATTAAGAAAACATTTTCAACAGTTTCACAACACTGTGCTCCAAATAGTTCTCACAACACAACCAAATACAGAAACACGCTGCAAATAACACAGACCACAACAGAAATGTTTTCAGGTTACCCCAATAAGTGACGAACACGGATGGGACATGCTTATTGCTCAATGTCTACTTTTTTTTTTTTTTTTTTTTGCAAAACATACAGAGATGACATGTTTATGACATACTTTGTAATACACAATGTAGGCTATTAGTTAACAAAGAGCTGAAAAATAAAATAGAAAAAAGAACATAAGGGTAAGATATTAATACATCAGTAAAATTGTTCCCATTTTTGTAATGTTATGTTTAATAAGTTTCATAGGTAAGAAATGTTAGGTAATGCAGGGTCCAAATATGAGATAGCAATTTTTAAAGTTGAGACACTCGCACACATATAAATAAAGCATATTATAAAAACATTTTTGTATAAAATGTATTTGCAACAGCAATAATAAGACATCTCTGTCCTAATGGTGCGTTCACACCAGACGCGACGCGACACCACGCGACTGTCGTGTCTCGTGTCGCAAAAGTGGATCTCTACCGTCAGAACAGCTATTCAGCTGACGGACGCCGTGCTGCGTTGTCATGGGAACATCCCAGGTGAAAATAATGAGGAAATTACGCTGGCTGAATCCGAAATCGCCCCCTAAACCCTCATTCACGAAATCCCTACGTTCACTGAAGGAGTGAATGAAAACGAGTGAGTGAATTCGGAGAGCCGTTGATCGTCCATCGGCTGTACACAAGGGGGTAATCCATCGACCGGAAGTTGAAGCCGGCCGGGTGCCGCCATGTTGTAGCAGAACTTCACTTGCGTTAGCATTTCCATTGACTCCCATTCATTTTGGCGTCACTTTGACAGCGAATAAATTTACATCTGAGGCGTTTAAAAAATCCATTTGTCCATTATTTATTTCTAAAGAAACACGACAATGTATAAAGGGCTCCATTACCTTGTATGTTACATTATGGCCCCGTAGAAACAGATTTAGTAAAAATAAGCTAACGATTGCGTCATAACCACTCGACTCATGTCGCGCTGTACAGAAAGTACCGTACAGACAGGAGGAGAAGCTCGCAGGCAATCGGGGGGACGTCCCGTCAAGGGAGAAGCCCATAGATAATGAGTCCATAAAAGCAACGGAATACTTACTCCTGCTCACTCACGCCAAAGAACTCTTTGCTCAAGTTCCCCGTCTCTGCAAGATTAACGTTGGCAATTTTCACGCACAGCTACTAGAAGATTCACGTCTGTCAGACAGGTTGCTCACGTCATCAAGCTTAGTTTGAGTCGGTTTGAGTCTGCGCGTCAGGAACGGAAGTGCTCAAAAATCGCTAAAAATGGGCTTCAACTGTTTCAACTGAGTTCTAATGAGATGGCTCTGCCCACTTCTTATACTGTCTATGGACGTTTCTCAATGTGCGTTCTTGTCTGTACTTGTGTTCTTGTGGACTTGTGTAACGTCATCAGTCACTGCCCAAGTACCGTTCCAATTCAAAGTTCACATCTAGCCAAGTCCAGTTCAAATCCCCGGATGTGTTCTTGATCCGCCCCGTTTACCGAGGATGCATCGAGAGGTGGCTTGTGCGGACTTGAGACAGCCGGGTATCCCAGAATGCATCTCCCACCAACCAGCAAGCTTTAATAGCAGAGGAGAAAACCCGCGTAATATCAAAATACTACTGTTATTGTGTCATGAAATGTCATTTTAAGAGTGTTTCAGGCGAGAATGTGGTTGTTTAAAGCTCAAATCTGTGGTTTATTTATAAAGATAGCGCCTATTTGAAAAATGCATCTGACGTTTTCGGAGTTGTGACATCCAGGCGTTCACCGCGGGTGTTCAACGCTCATCAACCCCGACTGGAACAGCTTTTCCTCGGCTAGTGCTTCTGACGTTTGCCGCTGGCTCTGATGTGTCTAGTCTAGTGGATAAACTTGACGTATAATTCGTCTTGTGTTAAGTCCATGTTCATTTTATTATGCAGTGAAGATAATCAATGTACGCGTTGCCTGCACCACATGGCCATTAGGCTATGTGTAAGATTTTTTTTTTAAATGAAAAGAGGCAGAGTGGTGTTTTATAACATATTTTGTTTTATTGTTGACGGAAAGAGGCAGAGTTGTAGCATATATCGTTTTATTGTTGCCTAAAATACACATAAAGAGATAACCGGAGTAGCCAGAGCGTGCTGAGTGACGCGATCAAGAACGCACTGTTCCATTTGCAGAATAACCGGACTTGCGTCCTCTCGTCATCGGGAGTTCGTTCTCCTGAGTCGAACTTGGCTAGTCCGAACTACCAAGGACGCAAGTCCGAAGTTTGCGTACTTGGTATTGAGAAACGGCTTATGGCTATACACAGTCGGGTTCGTCGATTATTGGGGTCCCCTGAAAGCATTTCCGTTGTGGTCAGTGCTATTTGCAGCGCGTTTCTGTATTTGGTTGTGTTGTGAGTATTTGGAGCACACGTGTGTTGTAAAACTGATGAATATGTTTTCTTAATTTATGGGTGTTTCTTCTATTTGCGTGTGTTTTCTTAAATTGCAGCGCGTTGCGCTCTCTCGGCCACCGTAATTAAGATATCCAGGATTGAGAGGTATGC